TCCTGACTGCAAGTATGTACCCTCCACTCTGAGCCTGGCTATCTAGTAGCACACAGAGCAAAGGATGCCACCACACCAGTTTGGATCACTGCATTCAGAGGCTCCCCAGTACTGCAGAAGAGGATCACTTGACAACCCCAAATGTATCCAGCCTCACTTGTGAGCTCCCCTCATCCATTTCGAACAGGTGAGATTGAGTCATGAGGAGAGATTCTTGCTTTAAGACATATTTCTCCTAATAGAAGGCTAAGCTGACATTTCTTCTCCCTCCCTCCATCCAAAAAGCTTTTCAATAAAACTCTGTGATTATGCCCAGTGCTATAAAACTAACCTTCATGATATAATAAATAGACGCATAGTGAAATACCCCTCAGCACTGTGGTCAGGCTGAAGGCTGCCAACCTGGAGAGCAGAAAATTGTGCTGTCTTTCACTTTCAAAGCAAGTGAATATAGCTGTTTTCTGGGGTGTATAATTGTATCCCTAATTGTTCAGAGGGCCCTCATTGAGAAAAACTTCTGAAGTGAGTACCACGACTCTCCTGCATGGAGTCAAAAGCACTCATAGCCTCTGCCCAAGAGCTGCTCTGGCTTTTGGGGAAAGCTTGACACAGACCCACACTTATCATGCCATGTTTTGGGCCAGAACAATCGATCTTATGGATTTAACCATGACCCATGTTTTGCAGAGTGAAGACTGATGCACAGTTGAACTGTGTGTTCCGTTGAGTGTTTATGTGATGGACAAGCTTCATGCTTAGGTGAAAAGATGCACTGTCTCAGTCCTCGTGGTCTCTATGCACAGTCTGGATAGTTTCTGAGAGTGAATCTAAATTTAAATGTCTGGGAAAGGCTAACTTATCACCAAAACCCTCTGCCTAATTTTAGTGGTGTCTTGTGTTGCAACAGAATTTAAATTCTTCAGCTTAGAAGAAGCTACCTTATGCTCTGCCCTGTAGAAAGCCACAGCAAGGCAAAGTCCCTGCTGCACAAAGTAGAGCTTCTAAAAGAATCACAAGAGTCTCCCCCAGGAATACCAACATCACAGTATCACCTGGCCCTCTTGATCTGCCTGCTGGCTGACTCCAGTGCCTCCCCTTTGACCCAAAATCCCTGTTTAACTGTGTTTGTGACCAGGCTGGCCCACACACAGGAACATCCAAATGTGGATCCGGGACTGACCCTACTAACTCACATAAGTCTCATTCCTGATGGGCAGCCAAGCCCCCAGAGTACCTGATTCTTGCACACACCTTGCTTATCTGGCTCTGCTTGCATTCCCACATTGCATGCAGGAAGCAAAGAAGTACAAGATACCTGCCTCGCACTTCTTCTGCATGTAACCTACCAATGCTGTGCTCTAGGCTGGGACTTTAGATATTCCTGAAGCATGAATGATAACTAAAGAGATGACAGAACAGGAAGACAGCCTGGTGGTGCAGACTTGGTGCAAAATGAAGGTGTCTGTACTTCCTGTCCCAAACAAAGCACCCTAGGGTTGTAAGTCACTTTGCTCGAAAAATGCTTCTGTGATACTGTAAAATTGCTAGTGCCAGTTCATCAGGGCAAGGATGATTAAATAAAGCAGCCACTCCTGGGGCAATAAAATCAGCTGTGCTTCATCAGGCTCTAGAAGAACTGCAGAGCTAGGAATATGCTGTGGGACAAAACCTTTACAGAATAAGTGATTTAGCCATAGTGAGACTGGTAGCTGGAGGCGGACAGGGCAGGCAGGGAAACACTGAGCAGTAGCATCCATGGGCATAAAAGTGACTTTTACAGACTTTTCTTAATCCTGTACTCACCCCTCCCTGCAGAAACCAGAAGGGATATGAATAAGGGGGTGCATTAGACTCAGGGTATTGAGAACAAGATGAAAAATCCTATCACCTCTTGCCTCTGGGAGGAGAAGGAACATAGGACCCTGGAGATTTTTATATGGGAGGCACAGACATTGGTCTGGCAGAATATCCACAACACAATATTGTCTCCATGATCTTGCAAGCTACATGGAGTTGGAAGAAGAGAGATTGTTTTGTTGCAAAGAGCACAAGAATGGGGGCTGGAAGGTAGGTGGGTGGGTGATGTCCTCAAGAAGCACATCAGTCTTGTAGGACCTGACACCAGGCTGGATGTCTCAAGGAATCTGGGAAAGTCAAGTCCCTCCTAAAGGAGCTGAACTCTTTGATTATGCCCCACCTCTGGCAGTTCTCAATGTCAGATTGGATGTGGCCCTGAGCAACCTGATCTAGTGGAAGGTGTCCCCACCCATGGCAGGGGGCTTGGAAATAGATGATCTTAAGGTCCCTTCCAATCCAATGACATATATGATTGTCTTCCAAGGAAATTATCCATTTGCAAACAGCATTTCAAATTTCTTGGTTCTTTCTGGGGATTTTTAACGAGTCTAATCACTCAGTCAAAGCACATAAATCCCTGCTAGAATTATGCCAACTTGATGTGAACAGTCAGTTCAATCTTCTTGTGCCCCAGTGAACTAAAGAGCATAAGGACAAAAATACTTTACAGCATGGATTTAGATGGTTGGTAAATGAGGGAACTTTACACAGTAAGGTTTTATATAGATACACACACACAGATAAACTTCTATAGGGATGCCATATATAAAACTGGGAGTGCTAAAGGCATGCATGGACTCACACCTCTCATGTACTGCACCACTACTTCAAAACGTCTTTGCTAGTCCAATGAAAATAACCAGTTTGTCACTCTTTTGACTTTATGATACCAAATACAAAGAACAAAATCTTTTGATTCTTAGTTGCTACAGGTTAGACTAGCTCCACCTAAATCCTCAAGGTCACAGGCATTTACACGTGAAGAGGACAATTTTGCTGTGATCCCATTACTCAAAAGTAGTTTCCAACTTTTACTAGAGAAAGAATATTGAGAAACAATTGATTTGATAGCCAGAGGATATATATTCAGACATGAACACACTTAAGACACTATTCACATTTGTCAAAGCAAAGCCACTGAACAGAGTATTTTCCTCCTGTACACACCTCTGCAGTTCTTTTCCATTTGCACCATACAAACAATAACCTGTAAAAATTCATCTTCAAAGTGAAGAAAACGAAATTTGGAAATCCCAATATGCAGTCTGCAATCTTAATAACCATGCACGCAGTATTAAAAAACTCTCCTGGAAGCAATTACAGCTGGCTGCAGATACGAATTTACACTAGAGAGAAAGACAAAAAACCTTATCCAACTATGTTGCACCTTTTCTCTAATACTATCCTCAGAAGCAAAAGCATTTTAAATCCTGAGAGCAGCCTTCATCAAGTTAAATGTGTTGTGGTGGTGCCTGTATACACTACATACTGTATTACATCTTCATTTGTACAAGGAAGAACCTTCCCGTGCATGTGAGATTTATTCCAGAGCATACAGCGCCAGTGGTGTGAGATGTCTGCTTGCCCACTTAATAAAAGAAGACTTCATTTAATTCCTACAAATGCATTTATCCTACATGCACCCTGGCATGACCTGTAGTTACCAAACTGCTAATAAAATGTCAGCTTATCCTATAAAATCAGAAATGCCTTATTCTTAGGAGTGAGGTAATTTGAAATTAATATGGAGCATCTATATGCAGCTCCTTTGAAGATGATAGCTCATTAACTATAATTAAGAGTAAATAATTTAAATGCATGAATGTAGAAAAGTGCATTCTCTGTTCTGACTGCGTTTTATAATACAAAAAAACCCCCTGTAAGTATCAGTTAATGCATCATCTTGAGTTTAAGAATATCAAAGCACCTTTTAATTTTTGTTAATGCTCTGTTTACGCTGGATTAATGTCTAATTAATTGTAATTGGAATATTTAATCTCCCTGGAAAGTTCAGATTTTTTTATCTTCTTTCTCTTTCATTACACACTGAGACTACAGTCTCCCTCCAGTGATTTTGAACACGCAGTTCAACAGATTGCTCTCCGGAGCAACTCCTGCCACTAGGGTAGCTCCACGTTCTTAGCGGGGGTCAAACCCCATCACCATTCCCAGTCCCATACAGACCCTTGCACCTCTTCTCCTGCAGCACACTTGACCAGCAAGCACTACCAGTCCGGTTCCAGGAAGGCTTGCACTCTGAATTGCCAATTCCAGAAAGATTTCAATGCATTTACCAGGCTCTTCCTACTGAAGGGCTGACCCCCTTGAGGGATGCTTTAGTGATACCCGATCCAGAAGGATGGTGCAGGTATGAGGGACTTACCCAAGGTCAACCCCTCTCTGCCACCGAATAGCAGGGACCACTGCTGTCTCCTTGCCTCAACCATCCCTCTCTCTCCAACTTATCTATCACTGCTCGCAAAGTAGAGAATGGGAAGGAAAAGAAATTCAGTCTGGCGCCTCTGGAGCAGGATGGTGAGGGAACCGGTCAGCTGTGGCTGCCAAGAGCCCAGCATCTCTGCCGCCTGCCCCCCAGCTCTACGCCGCAGCCCGCACGGGGCCGCGCACCCCCGCATCTCCCCCTTCCCGGGCCAGACACTGCCCTGGGCTGGCAGGGTGTCCGGGAGCTGGGAGGGAAAGATGCTCTGCCACAGTGCACTGTAGGGGATTCCTCATGGGGAAGAGGAGGGACGGGAAAAGGAGGACCCCATGCACACTCTCCTATCCAGTGCTCCCAACCCACACCTCGCCATGGCACTGGAAAAGCCTTATCCCTCCCCAGACCCCCAGCGGGCAGGGCAGATTATGCTAATTTCGACTCTCACTGGAGCATCGGAGAAGCTCCTCTGCGGGCGATGCCCCGCCGCCCGGCGAGGGCAGGCTCTCTCCAGTCCCCGCGCTCCCCGGGGCTCCCGCCGGCGACTCTGCCGCGGCGGCTGCGGGCGCCGCGGTGCTCCCGCCTCTGCTCCGTGCCCGGCGGCGCCGCTCCGGAGTATGCGGCGCGGGGAGGGGGAGGGGGTTTAGTGTTTCCCTTCCCGGAGGGGATAGGAGAGGATGGGATGGGATGAGGGGTGGTCACTCACCTCCCTGCAAGGTGACCCGCAGCGCGGTCTTCCTACTGTGGGCTGCCGGAGAGGCGTTGTAGCTCCGGGCCGGCGGTGGCTCATAGCCCGGCCGCGCCGCCCGCCGGCATCCTGGCTGCGGGGGCGGCGGCGACAGGGGGTGGCGGGGGAGCGGAACCGGCACTGCGACCGGCACCTGGACCGGCACCGGGAAAGGACGATCGGCCGACGGGGCTGCGCCTCCTGCACCGACTAGCTCTACTGTGCGCTCAACTCGCGGGGAAGAGGAGGAGGAGCAGGAGGAGGCGGAGGAGGGAGGGAGAAGGAGAGAGGCAGGAGAACCAGCCCTGCGTGGCAGCGCGTCCAACTTTCCTTATGCAGCAGGAACAGCCTCCATACCCTGGTGTGTAGCCCCCATCTCGGGGGAGTATGGCAAAACCCGCCCCTCTCTGCCCCCTCCCCCCCATCCTTCGTCCTCCTCCCTGGGCCTTCCTCCTAGACAGGGATCTCTTTTGTTTCCCACCCAACGGAGCTCAATTGACCCTTCAGAGGCATCGAGTCCGCTCGCCCCAGCTAGGCTGACCCTACACCTTGCCCTGCCGCAGAGAGCCCCCGGTACTGCTCCCACACCCACACGGCAGCTGCCAGCATGGAGCTGGGCACAGCTCCCCAAGGCGACGGGGACGCTCTAGCAGGTCTGAAGAACTTTATTTTACTTGTGGTTTATATTTTAGCGTAGTGACGAGCACACCAGGCTGCGGCATTGAGGGGTGTTCCCAGCTTTCCTAATAACTGTGCATAATATGCGTAAGCAGTGTTCATTCGTTCCTCTTTCCATCCCTAACAGGCCTGATAGCCAAGTCATTTACCTAAAAGCTTCTCTGTCACCACTTCTTTCTAGATGCGTAAACATCCATTGCTCAAAGTGTTGTTAGGAGATCACATGCCCCTTTTAGATCACTGCTTTCCTTTGCCACGGCAGGGAGACAAGAAGATGTACAACCCTGGTGCATTTTGGTTGCCTCCACTTCTCTCCCAGGGTTAAAGCTGTTTTCTCTCCCTGCTTGCCTATTATTTGTTATTCATAGTCCCAAAATAAGCCATGCCAAATCTTTGCTGAAGGAGAATGTTCAAGATTTAAAATACACATTAACTAACTTGAGTCCATCATAGGGATTTTAAGCAGAAAATCCCTCCAGCCTCTGCTCTTCCACAACATTTCGATTCTCTTCCAAACTCTCACTTGTTTTCAGTATATCCCAGTGGTATTTACAGAACATTTTTCTCTCCGTCTAAATATCTGGTCCCTTGTTCATTGCTGACTTGCTCCAGACTGCAGAGAAAATGGTTTCTTCCTTAATGTAATAGGCACTGGGACAGAATGCATATGTAATCAGCAGAAAAAAATAGCCCCAAATTATGGTCACCCTTATTCTCTAAAGTATTTTTCACCTTTCCTTTGTTGAGAATAGAAGCCTTTAAGTCACACTCATTATGGCTTTACCAAGTAAGACTCTTAGGAAAAAGACCGTCTTTCCATTCTCCTTGTACAGGAACATAACTGTAGGGGGGCTGGCTTGCAAACAAAGGACTTTGAGATGCTACAGGGCAAATTTATCAGGCATTACTGCTACTGAATGGAGATATCAGCTCGCTTGGATGGACAGCAAAATACTGGTTTTTATTCCTGGTGAAATACAATTTCTTAGTGACCAAATGTATTTGTGAAATAGGAGGAAAGCCAAAAAGACTTGTTAGAATTCTTTTCTTGGAAGAAAAAAATGGCATTTATAATGGAGTGGGGAAGGGATTTCTGGGTCATCAAGTCAAATTGTCTTGCTTCCAGGCAGCCACATCCTGTGAGCTTGTTTCTTTCCTTTTGACACTTCCAAAATGTGGGGGCTTTCTATGTTGTTATCAAGATGAGGTTCAGTGACATCAGGGAAGTAATAATTTTCCCTAACACTGTTCCTCCATGTTTCCCATTCTCCCTGCACCAAACTAAGCCCATTCGTCTGGGAAGACCATGGAACTTTGTGTCCATGAGGAAATCAGGCCTCATTTAATTTAGTTGAATTTTGAAGCAGAACCAAGAAAATCTAAGTAGTGAAACAATTACAATCCAACAACCACAGTGGGTGTAACTGTTGCTATTGACTAGGGCATACTTTGCCTTTTTTTCTTGTCAACCTTTTCTCTTGCCTAAAACCATACAAGAGCTTACCAATACTCTAACTGGAGTTAATTATGACACTTCCCTATTGCACTAAGATTGACATAAATTGGCCTATTCCTGATGCTGGAAGGCTAATGACTATGCCTTATTTGATTTTGATATTTGCAGCTCACTGGTATAATTTGATTGTTGGAGAAAAGTTTTTCAAAGAGCAGTAGAAAGGGGCTTGTGGTGCAGTGAACTGCAGCAGACTAGTTTGCAATTTGGAAGTTTCTCTTCAAGTCTAGCAGCATCACTGAGAGTCCTCTTCAGCACCAGGCTGTGCAGTGCATCCTTAATGCATTGTGCCAGCACATTTCACAGCTTCTTGGCAAGAGCTGTGAGTGGGAAGAAATCGTGGAGGTTCATGCTATGTGTTAAAGGCACTTTTCTCCAGAGCTGATGCAGATGCACCTCAGTAGGAAAGCTTCTGCATAGACAAAAGCACAAAGCATCACACTGATGGAGAGCAGCATGAAGAGATGTTTGAAAGGGGCAAGGCAGGGGAAGAAAAAAGTCCACATCCTTTAGGTCTGATGGCTCTTGGAAGCTCATTGCAGCTGTTTGCCGTTCTAAGTGTATGTCAGCAACCTGCTAGGACAAACTACATAGCAGTCAAGGACCCCTTCTTGCTTTGATAGCAGGGATCTGAGTAATTGCTCCCCAGGGCCTCTGAGCAAGGCTCAGGTGCGACCTGAGCTCCTGAGAAGCTACCCTTCAAATACTTGGTGAATAATAATAACAAAAATAATCATTGCAAAGAGAAAAACTGAAAGGCAAGGCTGCCTAGGGCAGAAGAAGAAGAAATGGAAGGGATGCAGGGCAGCCCATGTTGGCTTGGGAACCTCCATGGATCCTGTACTCTCCTGCTCTCAGTGAGGAGCTAGGGATTTGGGAGACATCAAGACAGGATGTAAAGAAGAAATGCCACCTGGAAGCAGAAATTACAAGAGAAGTACAAACAGCTTTTCTTACAACATGGGGATTTGCAGAACTCAGGGAAGGGATGAGACTTTGCAGACATATTTCATTATAGCTCCAGGGAAATAATTTCACCACTAATTGCTCTGACCAGGGCTTTTACAAAGACTAATACTGACCAAACAATTGGCCACTGACTTCAGTGGAAGCACCCTAAGGAACAACACCTTGGCTGAGGAGTCACACAGTCCTGATAACCTTCCTGCTCTTTTCTCCGCTGGGTGCTTTTCATCACTGTCAACAGTCCATCTGTGAGAGCCCTTGGAGTGAGAACTGCTCTGAAAGCTTCCTGGCCAAAACTGCATGGGAACCATCACAGAATGGGAGCAGGAGAGAGTCATGATCTGGAAACCACACATCCAGTGCTTCAGGAAAAGAGGGTGAGCTTTGTGGTAGCCATGAGGATTTGGGGAGCATCATTAGCTGGTGGATCTGCTGATGTGCTAAAATGCTCATGTGAGCTAGTGGGAGCTGTGGACCTCAGCTGTCCAAAATCTGATAATCTATGATGGGGTGTATGCTCAGGACACCCCGAATAGTAAAGTGTAAAGACAGCAACCTGCAAGTGCATTCCTGGTCTCTAGGAAGAGCAGCAGCACCACCTATCACCAGAAAAAGGAAAGAGGATAGACAAATCTTTCTCCCTGTTCCCAGCATGAGAGTGGAGCCCAGGCTTTCTAGATAATAGCAGAGAAACTTCCTTCTTCCAGCAGAAGAACCCAGCTTAATTCTTTTCCTCCATGCTTTCTACTAAAGACTCCTGGCTCTGTGAATGTCTCTTGGTTTGTCCGTCATTGAGCATCTTTTGCTGCAGAGGGAATGAAATGTCACTTAATGACTCTAAAGCAATAGCTGAGTGGTAGACTGTCCCCCAAGGTCACCTGAGGCTCAACAGGAACAGACTGCAGTGAACATGAAAACACTTGTTGGGTTAAATGACGTAGGCCAGATGTGCTCAGCCTTAATAACTTGGGTGTGTGGTTGTGGAGTGATCTTGCTGTGGTACAGAGCTAGCAGGAGATAGAAGGGATGGAAAAGTGAAGGTCTGGGGAAAGAAGCGCTAAGAGCTGGTATTTACAATGACAATGAGCCAGAAAGAAACCCAAAATACAAAACCTCAGGTCTACAACAACCAATTGTTCATCATTCAGAGGGCACAACTAGGCTCCAGGACCCTGTACTCTAAATTGTGCAGAGCTTTTGGCTTGTGGATCGGCACATAAGGGTTCTGTCTGTCAAAAATCATGGCAACATAGGTAGTGGTGTGGTCATGTAGCTTGATTCTGAGTGATGATACAGAGCAATCAGGAAGTGGCCCAAAGTTGTAATCTCTTCCTGCCAAAGGCAAGAAGAATCTTTCCTTGTAATTGGATCCAACCCCAAAGGTGTAGCCAGGAGTGCTTTTAACTTTCTGAGAAACAAGAAGTGGTTAAGTGAAATGACTGAGCTGTTTGGGTGCTGAAGTGTTGATTTGTTTGCTGGTAGTTCTGAAATTAGAATAAAAATGAGAGTTTGGATTAACCCAAGCTGAGCATTTTTTTTCTTATTCTGTATTCATAGCAAATTGAAAAGGAAAAGATAGAATTTTTTGGCTGAGTGAATGACGTAACAAAGCTCAAGATCAAATGTTTCATTGCTTTGAACTCTTCTTTGCTCTTATAAGCTCGATATGTGCGCTTACTTGTAACAGGGGAAAAATATAAACACAATCACTGTCACTCTGCCTAATGTGAACCAAGAACGAGTGGCTGCTAGATATCATCTTTTAGGAGGATGAAGTAAACAGGTCTTTACATCTGATACTAAATTAATTTGGAAGAACCTGTTAGGAAAAGTGATACAGGACCAACCTTTTATATACTCAAGTCCTCAGCCCAGTCCCTGGAAGGGGTTGTCTTTATCTCTTTTGCTTTAGACAAGTTACATGAATTCTGCTAAAGTGGCCCAATTTTTCATACGTCCAGGAGCTGA